TCAGCTTCGTGTAGAAAATTCGACCAGACGAGTTCTTCCATGGTTTGCCACACGAAGCTATGGAGGAAAGCAATAATTTTTAGCACCATCGGTAGCTGTTCATCTCACTCAGTTCACATGGTTTTAGATTATAACAACCCGGTATTAGACTCAATCAACGTTGCTGTTTAATGGAAATACGTTGCATTATGGTTTGTTAATAGTTATAGTTTATTGTTATATTCTTTTTACTTATGGTTGCTCTGAAAAGGGCCGTTTGTTTTGAATATTTTCGGGGTTTTTGATGACGTCATCGTCCATACGAGGCATACGTAAAAGAGGCGTACGTAAAACAGAGGGTTCGTATAACTGGGGTACGTAAAAACGAGGTTCTACTGTATAAAATGTTACATCAACTAAGAAAAAAAACATAAACCAATAAAGTGACATAAAACTAAGTTTAAAGAAGGAATATCAATCATTTTCAGGTGATGTATTTGAGCTGTGCGTTCTTATTGAGGCATATTGTGCAGTAAATCTCACTTTTTGTTTATTGTGGGGCGCTATTCGCATTTATTCGTGATCATTTTGAAGGGAATAATAACACTCGTTTTGGCCATTATTGTCATGTTTTCATTCGGAAATCACTTCAATGAATACTTCACAGTTAGCACAGGTAATTTTGGCTAACTGTAAAGTATTATTTTGTTGCAGAAAACAGTAAAATCCAAGTTATACTTTGTGACAAAATGTGGCTCGCAAGGCAAGGCTAGCTAGGTAGTACTTTGTATCATAGGCCCAGGCCTACCCTCACCACACAGAGATGCTATGAAACTTTGAACTCTGTGAATTACAAATTTTCTCATTTACGAACTTTGTTCGGATGGAGGGGTATGTAATTGGGAGATGTTACTGTACGCTGTTTCACGTAATAACTTGTTCCAAATATATACCAATTAATTTAAATGATTCTACTGTAGTATTTTAGGTGAAATTGACATCTTAGAGCATTACTAACAATAATAGAAATGTTCTTATTCAACATGAGATATAACTAATGTACATAAGTTACTTTTTTGTTTCTATAGATTTCTCATTTTTCTTTTGTAGATTTTATTTGTACCTGATCCAGATTCTGAAGAGCCAGTCAGCTTTAGTCCAACCTCACCTGTTGCTAAAACAGGAATACAGGTAGTTTACAAATTAAATAATAAGATCAATATACTGGGTATTATAAGTCAGTGGTAACGTCATCACTTTCATTTGCACTGAATTTCCCTATCCCTGACTGATCACTAGTTTGATATACAGTAGTACCTCCAGATTTTTTTGCAAAGCTGGGGAGATGTTACTACAGTACATCACGGTGGTATATGTGGCAAAGACAAGCCAAACCAGTCACTCGTCGCAAATCATGTTTCAGAGAAAATGGCCAAAACATGCTGGAATGTCAAATTTAAAAAAATCTATTTTATTGCACTAAACTAACCTTGATATATCTACACATCATTCTATGCTGTTATTTTCCCCATTTTCAATGTTAAAACAATACTTTTTAAGGATTTAAAGATAGTTTCTGCATGAGAAATGCCTGAAATCATAAACTTTGACGGCTAATTTCTCATATATTGTTCTTTAAACAGCTGTGTGGTTAAACGCTTGTAACCTCATAAGGAAATGTCGGATTTGAATGATTTTTTTACCATTTTATAGCTATTATTTTACTCTCTAACACTGTATTAATAACTCAAAATCAATTTTTGCGACGAGTGACTGGTTTGGCTTGTCTTTGCCACATATTTTGTTTGCTAGGAGCTCTGTGTGAAGAGTGTTAGTATGCGTACTACTAACAAAATTAATCATTCTAGCACACACAGCTAATACACATGCACAGTAATCACTAAGCAACTGCCGCTGCAACCAGTTGTTTGATTTATGAATATATAGCAACTGCTCTCTCAACCAGCAGTTTCATTAAAGGGCCAAATAAAAGGTGACTGACATCACAGCTGACTTATAAAGCAATTATAAATTAAATTAATTATTAAGTAATTATTAGTCTGCTTTTTGAGTAGGAAATAGAAGCCAAAGGAGCCATTATTTCCTGAAAAATTGTCTGGAGTATCCAGTACTTTGATGATCTCCATTCAAAATACTCTAGTTGTCTTCTCAAGTTGAGTCATTGGGCCACTGCATAACTGATATTTCTCAGTAAATAGGATGAGGTTCTGTCTGGGCTCCTTAAAGTACTGCACTTGTAACAACTACTGTATTGCCAACTGGTGCAGTTTAGCTTGCTTAGAGCAGAGCATCAGACCGGCACTCTAAATGTCAGTTTGATTACTCCACAGTTCCATTGTTTTCTTTTCTTCAACTCCATAATTACGGTGATATTTTTACCTTCTCTGAGAAATTGGTGCAGTTATTTGATTTAAAATGCTTGATTGAAAATTAGTGGAGCTGTTACATAATAAGGTGTTGGTTTTTTTAGGAGCTTTGGGTTCATTATATACTTTGCTGACTATTCGCTATAATCATTTGTTTCCAGTGACCAGGGCTGTGAAATGCTATGAGATGTTTAGACATTTTTTAATAAATGAAACATAACCTGACTAGTATAAAAACCACATAAAATATAAACAAATCATCAAAAGATGAAGGCTATAAAGTTAAAATTATTAATAAAAGAACATGGAAAGCAATATATTTTAATTTTCCAAGTTAAAATATTAATTATTTTTAGCATATGTCTTTCATTTACCTTTTAGGATAATTTTAATGTTATTGTTTTAATCCAATCCTAATTTTAAATTTCCAATGTGTACCCACCCTGTAAGCCTTGCTTTTTACACATGTTAATAACATACAAACAACTAAAAATATATTTTGAGTATCATTCTATTGTATTATATTTATAAATAAAAAAACTTAATCTGGTGTAATATACAGTATTCTGATAAAGGATGTCTTGAGGTTTTTGCTATTTCCTTCCTGGTTTCTGATCATTTTGTACTTGACACTATAAATAAAAAAGAAAATGTGATACATTGGTTATGTACATATAGTACAATATTTTTTTTAATGTATTATACTCAAAATATTTTTTTTTGCTTTTAGGATTTACCAGTAGTGAAACAAAAATCTATTGATGTACCAGTAGTTATGGCAAAAAGTAAAAATGACAAAATTTCCAAATTCAAACTAAGTAAGTCGAAAAGCAGTGACCAGGGATCTAAGAAACAGAAATTGAAATCATTCCTCCGTAAAAATAGTGATCCAAAACCAGGTAAAGTTGTGCGGACCTCGTCAAAGGAATCTGAGACCGAAATCGGAAGCAAGCAGTTTCTCAAGTTAAATGTGAAGTATATTACAGATGGTGAGGTATGTGTGACTATGTTATATCAAAGATACTAGAAACACAAGATAGAGTTCTCCTAAGAAATAAACTGGTCCACCGAAATGCACGGTGGGAATACAAACAATGGGGCGCCGAGTACGGCTGGATCTAAAAAAACGTTAAATAACTGTGAATACATAATCTCCTTTTGCAGAGGTTGAAATCGTTGCTATTATCCATAAGATACAAACAAGTAGGCATAAATAAATCAAAACAATAAAATGACGACACAAAAGCGCAGAATCGTATGACCGGACTCTGATTAGTGATAAAGTTTTCCTCCATTAGTGAAAAAAGAAGGGCTCCGTGTGCGTCTGGATATACCTAGCAACAGGAGGGCGCCCTATACGTCTGGACCATGTATAGAAAACTTACATTATAAAAAGAGAAGGGCGCCGCCTACGTCTGGACCAATTTCCGCTTCATTTTTGCTATGCGAGTGCTCTATCTTGTATTTCTTTGGTTATATCAATAAATTTATCAAATACATGCACATCTTGTACAAATGCAGCAATGCATTTAATAAATATAAAGAGTTTAAACCATTACATGTTCAATGGTTCACCCATCATTGTCAAGTGAAAGTAACTACTGCTACTAAATTTTAAGCTTATAGATAGCTAGGGAGTAATACATCTTCAGTTCATTTTGACAATTAGTGGTCCTTTTTGGACATAACTGCGAATCAACAGTGATGATCTGGGGATGTTTACTTTTTCAAAAGCCATTATGTAAGAAATTACTGCTGACTTTAGTTTTCAAACAATCAATCACATATTTACTTCAAATTCCCATGTTAGATATTGTCATATTGTCTTATAAATCTCCAGAAATCTGGTAAAACGTTACTGCAATACTTCATTTTGTATTTAGTAAACAAGTAATGCATTTCTTTACTACTATAATTAACTTTTATGTGGAAAATAATACCTGTGCTTATTTCATGCGTTCCCAGTAGATTTAAATATGGCCTGACAATTAGCTTTTTTCGGATTTAAGTTAAATACTCATACTCAATAGTTTATAATCCCCTTTTCTAAAAACTTGTTAATTTAGTCTTATTTCTTCAATTGACACTGTAGGTCAATGTCCTGAAGGTTGACATGGAACTACAATGCAATCTTATAAACAGCTAGCCAAAACTTGTCCTGGAAATCTAGGCTTGCTTGAATCTTAGATATGTTGGAGATTATTAAATTGATAGGTCTCTTATTTGTCAATAAATAGCGTCCTCAGAAAACAACCCACATTTGAATTGTATTTAAAAAATATATTTTTGTTTATGTATTATTGATGACTTTTATGTTGGGGTACTTAATATATTAAGTTACATTTATAATATTTTTATTAATATAAGTATATTTATTTTTATATCTTTTTTTAATATGTAATATTTTGTGAAATGTTTATACAGGTGGTTTGCAGACATTATCCCTCAATGGTTCTTTGTAACTTAGTTAAATTGTCTGACTGATAATTTCATAAATGAATTAGTAGTGTGTGTCTCTAGGCTGTAATACAGCCTAGAGACACAACTGTATGTGATGGCCTTCCAGGGCTGTAAAAAGTTGTTGGTCCTGGGTACAGGACTTGAGTAGTTTAGGCTGGGCTAGCAAAAAATACATTAAAACTAGACAAACATTCAATAGCTGATGTATAAGGGTTAACAATTATTTTTGGCAAAACTAGACCTTGGTCCAGCAAAAAAAATTAACTTTTATGGCTCTGCCTTCTCTCAGAAAAAAAAAATAGGGGTCTAATGAAATATTTATTTTCTACAGGGTGTTGTTAATGGAACTATGTTAGTTACACCAAATGCCATAATGTTTGATCCTAACGTGTCAGACCCATTAGTCATTGACAGAGGTACAGCACCGTATGGCGTACTATCACCAATGGATCAAGTTCTCGGTGCTGCTATGTACAGGGACATTGCTCCCATGACAAACAGGTTAGAACAACTTTCTTTTACCAATGCTTTCTTATTAGGTTAAAGAAATTGTGTGTTACCCAAGCATGACGACATTTATAAATCTGAGTCAGTGAGAGTGCTCCGACCGTAATCAGGAGACCGTAATTTTGCTGGTGATGGTCAGAGCAATCTGTCAGAAACATTGAGAAAACCAACCAGTTGTTTTGCCTTTGCCTCAAAAACCATATTTTTACACATGGTGTACCATAAATGCTCGAATAAGCGTGGCTCTCAAATATGCGCTGTACCAAACTTGATTTTTTTTTAGCTAAGCACCACTCTCGAATAAGCACTGCAGCACTAAACGAAAGTATATATTACCCTGTGTGTAATGAAACACTTTGAGAAAAAGGGTTTTAAATATAATGTATACAGTGTTAAAATGAATAAATAAGACAATGAAGGCAAAGCATTCTTATAAAAGTTTATCTACGATGATAGGCCTACTGAACTATGGGAATACAAAAAAAAAAAATTGGGATTTTGTTCCAGTTGGATTTTCTGTCTTTACACAGAATTCAGCCCAATTTAAGTGCTTTTCCTTAATCTAAATCTTCACTTACTAAACTACACTCTAAAACTAAACTAAACTACTAAATTTAACTATATGCTAAATTCTAAAGTGTAATCGATTAATTTGTGTACATGGAAAGGTTTCACTTTATTTTATATATACTGTGTATAGTATCAAGTTTGTCACTTTACTATATTGTTTATTTTGTTACAGGGATGGAACCCATGAAGTATACTGCCCTATACATACTGAACCTAGTCTGGGTGTAGACCCATCGGATCTTATGAAAGACCGCTCTGAGAGCGTCTGCTCATGTGGCAATGGGTCTTTGAAAACTCCTACCCTTGATGCCACCTTTGAAACCATGCCTACACTGATACCAGACCAAAGCAAACAGGATGAGAATGAAGTACCCTGTGGGAATTTAATAGATATCACATGTTCTGACAATGAAAATAATGCAGATGAAGAGAGCCCACAGACTTTGGTGTTAGATCATATTGGAGAAACAGACAAGGAGGAAAACAAAATAGAAATGACTAACAAAGAAAGAACTGATACCACAAATGGTGAGGCTGACGACGGCCATACCACCTCATCATGTGCTGAGTCGTCCCTTTCAAATATAGATGATCAGGTTGAACCATCTGAACATTCCTCAGACTTGTTTGTTAATAATGCAGTGGACAAGATAATGCAGGATATTCTAAATACTATTGAGAGTAAGGAAGTTGAATCAAGACTCAATGGTGAAGTTGCAGTTTCCTCACAACTTGATGATAAAATCTCAAACCAAAGCAAGCCATCAGTTAACGACTGTTTACAAAGGTGTAATCACACCATTTCTGCTGATGATGAACTATCAAAAAGCCAAAACTTTGTCAATTTTTCGGCAGGTATTTTTGTGACAGACTGCCCTAGATGTTCAGTGGTACCAGATATGAATGAATGCATCCATGACACCACTGCAACGGAACAAGAGTTGCATGAGTTGGAGGAAGTCGGCAAAGAAATCAGAAGTGGATCAACCTCTGATGAGAACCCCACTAGTCCAACTATCATTCCAAGGTTGTGTGACATTCCTGGTGGTTTCAAAGGTAATTGTTTACTTTACATTACATATTTTCTTTATTGATAGTATAGCTACTTGCACTGTATGCATTCTTTTCACATCCCTTCCACTACTTTACAACCTGTCTAATTCCATTGTATACTAAAAATTGTCTCCCAGGGTTCGAAATAACACTGGTCTGCCGGCCAATGACTAATAAAAAAAATGGCAAACCTGTTAATTATGACAATGATAAGTCCTCGTGACCAGTTAAAATTTCAATAAAAGTAAAAAAAAAAAAAGCTTTACTCATTCACCTCTTAACGATGTCTTTACAAAACAATTCACACAGATAATGTCAACAAGATCACTATTTTCTGTTTATTGTCATTTATTTTATTTTATTTTGTCAGCTATGAACAGCCTTGGGCTCAGCCATTCAAGGCAAACAGATGAACATCACACACTAGCTAGACCATGGAGGAATCCATGGCTAGATGCACACAGAGAAATCACCTTAGCCTCTGCTTGTCACATGTTACAGCGACAAGGAGAAGTTGATTTCCTTCTGTGTAAGCACCGTGAAGTTACAACATCCATGTCATGTATCCATCCCACAATGCAACATGGGACAAAAAGTTAATAAACAACTATTTCCGGACGAAATAACGCAATAATAATAATAATAATAATAATGATAATAATAATAATAATAATAATAATAATAATAATAATAATGCTTCGGTGACTTATAATGTTTTAATGGTCGTTCTTTGATATCTTTTTTACATTGTAATTTTTATAGTTCATTATATTTGATCATTCTTTTAATTGCTTTACTGTATTTTAATGCGAGAACTGAATTTCCGACTTGGAGCAATAAAGTGCATCTTATCTTATCTTATCTTATAATCATCGCTGTCAAGAATTTAACAACTTGTTTGTTTATTGTTTTGTTCGTTTTCTTACTTTTCTGTCGAACCTTTTTGCTTAGAGTTACTACCTTAGTGCATTACTGTATATTTAAGTTTGCACGCTTTCTTTGGGTTTGGTTCTGCAAGCTTTACTCAGGGGTATTTTGTTGATTTTTGTGTAGTAGATACAAAGAAAAGAAAAAACAAATTATCCGCCTGCTGCTCTCTGTTTGAATAGTGATCGTATTTGAACAATAATGATACATCAACATGCTTGGTCGACTTGTAAAAATTCAGAGCCTTCTGTTGTTTGCCCATAGAACAAATTTGGGAGTGTTATACAGTACGATTTCAAAACATCGTCATCGTAATGAAACAGCTATAATATTGAAAACAAGCAAACAAGATTTGTACAATCGGTGTACGAATTCAAATAAATATTGACAATATATTTTATGGGTCAACTTGATATTTAATTTTACGACCAATAAACATACATACACACATACATTTGTGATTAATGGCATGTAGCTAATAGACATGCAAAACAAACATTAGCGGTTAGCTGCTGTATAATATCTTTGAATATTATTTTAGACTGATTCATTCACATGCTTGGTCATCTTGTAATTATTTAGAATTCAACAGTTTATAATAATAGGGTCCATATCTCTACACTTTAAATTATAGATGCCATAGACCCAGTTTTGTACACACTCCCTTAAGTAAATTTTAAAGGAAACTGTTTTCCTCATTTTTCTTATTGTTAAATACTCCCATGCAGTACTGGTATAAAATTGACAGATCAATTAGACACTCTGTAAAGATTGATTATGCCCTTTTATATAATATTGTAGGGCGCACAGAGTAGGCGTTCTAATAGTATGGCCCTCAAAATATTACTTACCCCCCCCCCCAAGCAAATCACGGTCAATTAAAGAGCACCTAAAATCACCTTATTTTGCAAGTTAGCACCCCTCAACTGATCATCAAACCCCCTGCTTCACCTTTGCAGCCTCCCCATCAGCACCCCCACCCCTCCTCCACAAAGCTAACGAGTTTCTGGTCTCGAAAATCCAGACACTTTGTTAAACCTGTACAGTACAAAATACTGTACGGTATATAATTTATTGAAAAAGCTTTAAAATGAAAGATTTTTAAATGAAGTTTATGTATATTTTACTAATATTTTGCGAATCTTGGGTTTTTAAAAGCAATCTTGGAATTTTTTAGACTCAATCTTGGAAATTTTGATTTTCCCCAGTGGTCACGTTGGCTAAACTTCCTCAAATCGCTTCCCTCAAATGTGACTGAAGTTCCAGACTATTTGATCGGTAGTATAGTAGGCGTACATGTTTATTTTGGTTATTTTTAGATAATAAACAATGTTTTAAATATGATAATAATAATGTACTATGAAGATAAATAATAGGTTACTACCTAGGCTTCAATTGGCAGATGTTTTAGGCCTAACCTTCTAGAGACCCTAGGCCTAGTCTGACTAGGTCTAGACCTAGGATTCATCTTAGGCCTAGCCCTGGCTGGGAAAAAAAGACCAAGGCCTATTCAATTAAATATTGTACAAACATATCTTTTATGTAAAATTTAGTTTCTGTTATGGCCTTTTTCTGTAAAAGTTTTTGCTTTTGTCATATGTCATTCTCTGTCTAAATACTCAAATGTCGTTATGAGATCAGCGAAACAAGCAACATACTGGGCCCTTTATGGTGAAGTCTGTAGGTCTACTGATTAAAATGTAACTTAAATATTTGTGTTGGTTGTGAGTTAAATAAACAGTACATTTGAAATTAACACTTGTTTTTTATTTAAAGCAACTGGAAATTAAGAAATATAATTACCATCTTACAAATTGTTTGAGGTGGGGACGTGGCACCAATGAATAGCGTCCCTATTTTTGATATTTGAATGTTGGCAGATACAGTATATGTGAAATTCAAATAAATTTAATTAATATAGTTTTATTAAATGTAAATATAATTTAGCTTAGTATAATGCAAAATTTCATCTAATTTGATCATGGACAACGTTTTTGGGAGGCATGGGTCTTAGCACATGAACCCTTTCAATGGCAAGGAGAGCAATTAATTGCTGTGCTGGATGTTGTTACCACAGCTGCACAGGAGGGGCGATCGCGCTTCTTAAAACTGATGGTGGCCTGCGACTACATCAGAAATAACTAAAAAATTGGATTTTTTAACATTATATTTATTCATCGATTCATAAAAATACTGAGTATTACGATACCTATGCACGGTACTAGGCCTACTGAACGATGTCCCAGTACCCAACCGACTTTTGGGACCTCCCTGAGTTTACGTACTTCTGTCAGTTCTTTCACACACAGACGGCATACAAAGAGATGTTCACTAGCAGGTAAACAAGTCCGTATGATTCATTTTTTTAGAGAGTCATCTGGATGCGTTTTATGGTCCATCCAATCGGCCATAGTTAAAGGTGAGGAGCAAAGGCCAAAACGGAATATCGGCGTCCAAACGAT